AAACGGGCAAATCCAAACGAAGCCCAGAGTTGACGTAAACTTGGGGATGATGCCTTATTTGAGCCGCCCGTCCTTAGCCGGAGGAGGGGAGCTGGGGGCTGGTAGGCCAGGCAGGGGGAAGCACAGGGCCACCGGTGTCCAGACTACCATCACCAGGTAGGGTTTGGTCACTCCGTCCCCCGCGGGCTCCCTGCCTCCACCCGCCTGGGGTTCCTGGAACAGCCCCGGAGCTGATGTGCCTGGTGTGTTTCGACTACGTGCTGCTCTGTAGTCGATGACTTTAAAATTCCAACTGGACATTTTTTTAAGGAATGAAAAGTAGAACATGTCTGGGAAAAAGAGGACGTCTGGTCACCCTACCATATTAACAATGTTGATGTTTCAGTGAGTGAGTGCTTGTTGCTATGATGTGTCTTTGCTCAGCAGCTTTGCTCGTTGTAAACCAACCAATCAGCGCACAGCTCATCTAAATATTCATGAGCATACAATAAAAGGAAAAAAACCTGTCGTTTCATTCTAGGGCTTATAACCAGGCTTGCATTAGGGCTCATAGAACAGCAAATATGCCATTTTCAGCCCAACCAATGTTACACACCCTATTCAGAGAACTTAAGCAAATACCCTATAGAATCATTCTATGACCCTTTTAAGTATTAAAAAAAAAAGAAGAAAACTTTTAAGTGTAAATTTTTTAAGTTTATTTTTGTTTTTGTTTTTTCTCAGGTGATGGAAAGTTTAATGACTTCCCGTGTTGGAACCTTCAAGCTTTCATCTGCTCCTATCCTACTCAATAAATCCAGAGGAAGATCAACAGCCTGACTTTTTTTTACCAGATTGTTTTTGATCCAAAGGTTGCTGGGTTTTTTTTCTTTTCTTCCATTGCTTTATTCTGTACTTATCAAGATATAAATTCACAGGCAAACATTTCATATGAAGTACAACCCCCTGTGTGATTAAGGCAGTCAGTGTCTGTCAGTCAGCATAATGTTAACTTTAAAGAAAAAAAATTATTTTATTTTTTTGCCTCCAACAGTAGAGATGGCTGTGTTTTATTTTATTATATAACATGGTCATGTCACATGGTTGGTATGCTCCAATCAAATTTAAACAACTTTTGATTTAATGGTGGCAGCTGGTTGTGCTCTTTTGCTGCTTCCAGTAAAACCATGTTCCCATACTCAAAGAAATAAACAATATAGTTGTTAGATTTCTTTTCATTATTTTTTAATAGAGAAGTCCTTAAATGAAGAAAAATACACTAACTGGTAATTTGGTTGTGAATACTAGCATGATAGAGTTAAAAGGTAATAATATGTATATAGTTATATGTGTAGGCTGCTGTATGTTTTACTGTAAAGATAAATATCAAGGTATGAAAAATCTACAGTATTTACTGTCAGGAAGGCATGAGACATACCGATCAACTGTGATTGATAATTATTATTCATTATGCATACATTAAATAAAAAACAATGTTTTTGAAGTTATATACTCTAAAGAATAAAAAAATCCCTTTAAAAAGAAATAACTTGGAATAACGGAGAGTAATAGGATTTCAGCTACAGTCTTTTGTTTTAGATTTGTTAAAGAGCTACATTTATGATGTCAGCTTGGCATGTTTTTTATAAAAGTTTCAATAAAGATAAAATGCAAATGTTTGCCTGAAAGACTTCTTTATTGTAAAGCCATCAAAAGCTTTGGGTTTAATTTAAAGCATGAAATAAATAAAAAAAGAGATAGAAAAGGCAAAGCCAGGCTAAGATAGAGGTGAACTTTCAGCTGCCTGAGGACCTCTGATGGCCCAAAACACTCACTTTAGCAGTAAAATCTTTATTGATAAAAGTATATGTTAGACTCCCTGTTTAAGGCAAAAATTTATATTTCATTTTTTAGTGATCACAAACACCTCAAATGTAAACATGGTTTTGCCTTTAACTGCATCCGCCAAGAACCTTATAAAATACAATGATGAACCATAAAGTCAAGCAAAGGACCTTTTATCCCACAGTAAATCAGGAGCCTTCTGGCTGATCATTTTATCCTTTATGTAAAAATTCTTGTGTAATCATCTCAACTCAAGAATAAGGTATTGCTGTATGTCAAATTCTATTGAGAAATAATTTAAACGACTGCCAGGCAAAACATAGGCTGTCAAAGTGCTAGTTTTACATATTTTTTAAGTGCAGAGGTATTTCTGGTAAGGTAATTCAATAGTTTTATTAAAAGTAATTGGGCTTTGTTCTTAGAGCAAAATCTGTGTTTTTGTGCAACTGTTAAAAGTGAACAGGACTGTTCACCAAACAGATGACAACTGACAGCTATCTTCTAGTAATGAAGCACATTTGTCCACTGGATGCGATTCCTCAGCCACCTCTTTAAATGACCGGGGATCAACACCCATTTAGTGATATATTTACACACTCATGCTGCAAATAGAGCTACTATAAGTCTGTTGAGGCTTACATTCTGCTGTGTGACTCATTTTCCACTGACCCATGGTCAATCTTTTCCTGACCTTTGCGCACAGAGATGAGGATTACAAACTCTAAGGTCTTTATCCTGCTGTTATATTTGCTGACTGCTCCACCTATGAATGCATGATTTACAATCACACAAACACACACACTCATCAGCCATTCTCAATATTCACATGACAAGGACTTTTGTCAACTATTGTTCAAAATGCCACAAGAGCTCTTTGAGGCTTTCCACTTCGCTCTTACCAGGAAAATTTACCGCTGCTGGAGATAATAGATCATGAATAGATAGTCATCTGTTATCTGTTACTCATATAAATAGCTCCTATAGCTTTGCTATACCTGAAGTATAAAAAAAAACAAGATTAATATAAAGACTATAGATCACCGGATAGGAGGGACATAGATTCCTACAATTGGGATCGTGCTTCTCTAATGGAAATCCCCCCTCATATTTTCACTGATTATCAGTGTTGCTGTTTAGATGAAAGTGACTCACTGTTTGGGCCCACCATCTGTCAGTTCAAGCCCTTTTCCAGCCCCGTGCAGCACTGCCGCCTGTCTGCCAGCTTCGCTGCGTGGGTTTATGCGATCAGTCGTAATGCTGCGAATCCTCCCACCTAAAAAGCCTGGCTTACAATCCTACCACTGAGTCCACCCTCGGCCAGCAGGTAGTTCATGGAGGGCGGACTGTGCTGCCAGCAGAATCACATCCAAGGCAGCATTCAGCGAATGGTCTTTAAGCACTTTTTTTATGTACTCACAATTGTCACTATGTTAAATACACCATGAGAAGATTTTTGCTAAATCAAAATCATTACATTTTTGATTAAATAGCAAAATAATAAAAATGCAACCCATTATATTCATACTAATCCATTTTAGTTTAATCTGGCTAAAATAAACTTTTGCAGTTAAAAATTTCAGTAGCTTTTACAAACACAACAGGTTTACATTTGTAATGGTAGGACAGGCTTCCTAAACAATCATTTGATGCATTGATTCTATCACATGGTTAAAATCGCCCAAGTAACCAGTTTTGGCATCAAACAAGGCAAAATGGTGGGGTCAAATGTGATGTGCAGGGTCTGTTAGGTTCACCTCTGTCTTAAAGCTGCTTTAGAACACCACCAATTATCTAACACTGCTTAATGTTAATAAGTTCATAATTAAGTTAAAAACTTAATAAGCTAAGTTATCCCTCAGTTTATCTCCCGCTTTCTGTCCCTTTTTTCCACTACAGGCGATCTTTTCCAGTTAGGGTTATTAGGATTCTTTTTGACCATTGATTCTCCAGTGTACACAAAACAGTAAACAATAGCTACAAAAATCTGCTAGCCAAACAGCACAAGAGTTACGCTTGGAGCTTATGTAATTAACCTACCGGGGACACATACGCAAAATGTTTGATTACCAGGTAGCTAATCCACTTTCAACAGTAGGCAAAGTAGATTGGTTAATGCTTGTTAGGCCCCACCATAGCCAGAGTTTATGGATTTTAATGCAAAATTTCATCCATCAGTTAAGACATTTAAGAGGAATCTGGATACTTAATTTCAGAGGAAAATCCTGTTTCATACATTTAATGTTATGTTGTACCAAAAAAAGTCTTTGTTTCTTTGTTTCTGTCCTTTTTTTGGCATTTTTCTACAATATTAGAGAAAGTGGCCTTTTTGTTAATTATCTTGACTTTAATTTTGAAAATACTGTTTTTTATGTTACAAAAGTAATAGGTATTTTTCTGTCCTCCAAAAAACACTCTTGCCTTGAAATTTTGAATTTCAAAGTACTTCACTGAAAGGGTTACTAAATCATATTAAAATCATCTAACCAGAGGCAAATGCTTACAATTTTATGTCAACATGGGTGTTCTTATTTTGGTAAACATGTTTTCTTAAACCTATTATGATATATGGAGGTCAAGATGATACACAATAAGGACTAAATATTTTCACTGGTGGTACTAGTTTAATATGTTTTATGTAAAAAGGAAAACGGGTTTGGAAAAAGTGTTTCCTCTGCAGAAATTCTTATTTTTCATTTATATTTTTTTGTCTTTATTTTTTTAGCGTAGTCTTCAAAATATGCATATAAGTTTACATTTTGATTTGTCTTTGATTTTAAATATCAGATCTAAGAATCAGTTACATAATATTTAAGTATCCTTTTTATCAAATACTTTGATTTGGTAGCCTTACACTTGCTAACCAAGTTGGCTCTGGATGAAAAATAGGAAAATACTGAACATTTTCCCCAGTTGCATAAAAGATTAAAACACCAGAAAATAAAAGAAGGAAGAATTTGTATGATGGATTGGAAAAGGTGGGATGGTGCCTAATACATGTCCATATACTGGACATGTATATGGATATAGCATTTTGCAGGAGAAGTTACTGTTAAAGTGATGGGAGGGGTCTCAGTCTGCAGCCCGAATGGCACAGACCCCTGCTTCTCTCAGAGGCGGGTCACAAACAGCAGACAACCCCATCTCTATAAAGACACGTGCACAGCTTACAAAGGTGCACACTCTGTAACAAAACAAGGATCAGTAAGGAACGATCCATCTTTCTGCAGGTATGTCTGACATTTCCTGGGATCGCCAATGTCCTCAGAATGTGCATGTGATTTCTGAGCATTTTTAATATTTTTATTTCTCTGTGATGTTAATATTTCTCATTATTCAGAAGTCATGGAAGGACGGTTATCAGCCCACCAACCTTTCCTGCCAAAACATTCAGAAACCAGTAGAAATGATGAAATGAATCAGGATAAGAAACTACAGAGGAAGGATGAGACAAATGATCAGGGTAAATTCAACTGGAAATGATCTGATCAAATTAAATCCTCTGCATTTTAGCTTATGTTTGCATCTGGAAAAAATAGAGCAATTGTGTTCATAATTTAATTTATTAAAGATAAAGGGTGTCGATATCATCAGTGCTTATGCATCTGTTGTGACTTCTTGTGAAAAAGCTTTACAAGACCAAGACATGATGAGAAGAGAGGGCCTGGACAGAAGGAATATCTGGGAGCCGAGTGTTTTCTATGCCCTAGGAAAGGAGTCGTTTAATTTTGCAGGTCATGAAATCAACATCCGGGAATCTATGGACTCATATGGAGCACTGATTTGGCCCGGGGTAAGAGCTTTACATTATTCTGAAAAATCAGTAGACAACAGAGTTAGTTCTTGCATGAATGATGCCCTGAGTTGGCACACCTTCAGCTGCCCCCCAACCAATTAAAAGAGTATATCATCTAAGATGTTTGCCAGACACATTGCAAGTGAAAAAAGTCATCTTAACCTCAACATGAATTTGTAGAAGGATGTCTAAAAACAATTTAAAAACTTCTTTAACAAGCACAGGTCATTTTAATTTCTTTATCTTATGTTTTTCTGCTCCCTCCCGTTTCTAATAATGCCCTGAGCAGCTGCCCTAGAGACTCATATCATAAATCGCCTCTTCTAATCAATGAAAAAATAAAAGATTTGTCTCTTTTTACAGGGAATAGCACTGAGTCAGTTCTTGGAAAACAACCAGCAACAAATAAACCTAATGGACAAAGCAGTGCTGGAGCTTGGAGCTGGAACTGGCTTAGTTTCCATAGTGGCAAGCTTGTTAGGTAAAAGGGCTTTTGCCTCATATTAACTGTTTTATATTAAAACATTGCTATTTCATATTGAAATATTTGGAGAAAATTTTGCTTATTTCACCAAATAGAATTAATCCTACAATTTAGAATAATTTATAACCAAGGAGTTGATTATTAAAGTTAGTTTTGCTTTTTTTTTTTCTTTGTTTTTTAGTTAAGATTAAAAGTTTGAGATAAAAACTAACATAATAGTATCTTTAAAATACAATAAACTAATGTAACAGGCTGGAAATAGAAAATATGTTTACTCTTGTTTTGATAGTTTATTATTAGTAATTAATTCCCCTTTTAATAGTTTGGGGAAACATGGATTATCAAGGTCAGATAAGTTCTTGAGAAGGCAAAGAAATCTGGATAACCAGCTCTCCAATGTCTATCTAAATTCAAAAAGGGCAAGTATGCATTTCAGCTACATGAAATCAATAGAGAATCTCAGAGTGCTAGTTATCCAGATTTTTTGTATATCTCCTGAACCCTTCCACCCACTTGCTTTCTGGGGTTCTGCACACTTCTTTTCTTTTAAAATTACAATTCATTCGACTCAGAGAATGAAACTGCTAATGTGAACTGAGGATGATTTCATGCAGTAAAAGGTTTAGCCTAAGAATCTCTACAATCTGATCAGCATGTTTTTAATGCTTGAGGTCTAATGACTCAGAAGGCAGGTCCATTAATGGCAGAGGAAATTACAAGGCTCCAAGATGGACACCAAGTTGGTCAAGGATGATGAAAGATCTGGGCGGTCATAGTTGATCCATAGATCTCCTGTATAGCATGGAAGATTGGCTGGTATTGGAGGAGCTGAGAGTTGCTGCCATCTATTGAGGGTCTCTCAGTCACGCAGGGGCTGTTTGTTCTTGGTTCCTTGAAAACCTCACATCAGATGAAAGGGAAGGCTTCTGACTTTCATCGTGCCCATTGAACAGTGGAGCACATTTGGTTATCTAGTCCATTTGTTGTTTTGGATCTGGAGTACCTGTGTTATTTCTCAGTGTGTTTGGATTCCATTGGGGCTGCCTTTATTCTCTGATTATATGATAATCACAGATTCAGTCTGGACTGGCATTAGAGTGGTAAATACAGTCTGGTTTGAGAGCCTTAAGGTGGCAACTTCAGGCTGTAGCGATTCGGATTAGACCCAGCTCCTCCAAGTCTAATACCTTTGGTCTGAACAGTCTGAATGCAGTGGTTCAGGAGATTAAAAAATTATTAAAAAACAATTTACCCGCCTGTCTATGGATGGATGGATGGATGGATGGATGGATGGATGGATGGATGGATGGATGGATGGATGGATGGATGGATGGATGGATGGATGGATGGAATCAAATGGATTATGCCAGATTTCTGATGTCTTTTATTGACTGTGACTCTTTAACAGGTGCTTGGGTGACAGCTACTGATCTACCAGACATTTTGTCTAATCTGTCCTTCAACCTTCGGCAGAATACCAAAGGTCGATCCCGCTACATCCCTCAGGTGGCTGCCCTCTCCTGGGGTCAAGGCCTAGAAAGAAACTTCCCATTCCCATCCTACCACTACGATTACGTGCTTGCAGCCGATGTGGTGTATCACCATAACTTCCTAGAGGAACTACTGAACACTATGCTCCACTTCTGCAGGCCGGGCAGCGGGACGACCCTGCTTTGGGCGAACAAAATTAGATTCCAGTCAGATCTACAGTTCATAGAGTGTTTTAAAAGTCGTTTTAACACGACACTGCTTGCTGAGCTGCCGCAGGAGAATGTGTGGATATTCAAGGCCACATCAAGGGAGTAAAGAAATAAGATCTATGGTCTGTTACAACTTCCCTACATTTAAGTTTTGTTTTCTTTTGATGCTTTAAATCAAGAAAGAAGAAAAAAAAATGCTAAACCTGCCAGTAATATTAGATAAAATTAAACCAAATGTCCCTGAATGACTAAAACCCATGAAAGAGGACACAGATACGTTCCAAGCACCCTTCCAGTTTTAATATGTGATTGCATAACATTCCTTGATGGGGTACAAATATTAGTTAATGCAAAAGCGAAGTTCCTGACACAATTTTTCATATGAATAATCTTTTTTATTTGAAACTTTAAACATTTCCTACATCTGAACAATATATATTTTTGAAAAATAAATCACTTTGCTGTTAATTAGTCTCCTATTGTTTTTATTTACCCCACAAAATACTGACCCAACAAAGTGCTTTAATCATAATTATTCATTGAAGTGCTTGATTAATAAATAAAGGTTTAAGAAATATTGAAAAAAAAGCATGAAAGTTTGGGTTTCTGGACATTGGAGCATGCAGTAAAATCATATTTTTATCACACATAAAGAAAGAAAATGTTTTAACATAGGTGGCATATACTCTATTGTAGCAGTATGAACAAAAAAAAAAAAACAAAAGTGTATTTTTAGAAAGTTACTGGCAGCACCGGATGCAGCAACACTAAATCTTAATTCAGTAATGGGGTTTTTAAAGTGTATTGGAGTTAAAAGCATAGTATCAATTCAGCACATGAACACATTAAATGAAGTTATGTTTTTTGTAATTACATGTTATTAACTAAATGAAGTCCTCTTCAAATCCAAGCTCCGCTTTTATTCTGTTCTCCACATTTCCACTGAGGAAAACAGTTCAAAACTTTTCCCATCTGTAGTTAGAAAGTTCCGGATAAACATTTTTCCAGCATCTTTACGATATGCAGCAGGTGGAGGATTTTGGCTGCTCTAGGATGGACTCTCTGCGGAGATCATTTGGGACGGTGCCTTCAGGGCCCCAGAGGTTCAGCTCTCCATAAATTCCCATATCAATCATCTCCTCTTGCCAAGGGATCGAGATGTTGCCTGTAGAAAACTCGTCAAAAAATGTCTTATCTGGATCCTCCAAGGTAACGCCCCTCACAGAGGAGAAAGCGCCAACATCATCCAGGTCCTTGGCATAGACCACCTTAGGATCAGGAACAAAAGGAGGCGGAACAATACCTGAGACGGTGAGAAAAGAGAAATGCATTAAAGCTGGAACAAAAATGTATCTTTATCCTCCTGCTTTATAATTAGCATTTGTTAATAAACTGTTTGGTTGATTATAGTGACTCTTCTAAAATAAATAAAAGGAAGCGTGTGCTTCATACATGATAAATAATGAATGTGTACCTGCATTAAGTTTCCTCCAGTTAATATCTTTGAAAAAAGGATGTGCTCTGATTTCATCACAGCAGTTGTTCTTGAAGCCCATCCTCTGGCCAACCTCTTTGGCCAGCAGCCCGTCACACAGAGACTTGGCATGTTCGCTGAAGTTATCTGGATAGGTCACCACACGGTTCAGCATGCGCTCCTTCATCTCTTCTCGCTCAACCTGAGCAGAAGACACACAAAAAAAGTCATCAGATGATTTATCATCCTAACTCAAACATTTTTTTGCATATTTTAACACCTTAAGCTGTAATAAAATAAAACCTTTTCTCCTCGGTTTCTGAATGGATTCTTAGCTGCGATGAACTCGTACAAAGTAACCCCCAAGGTGAAGTAGTCAACTGAGGTGTCATATTTATCTCCTTTCAGCATCTCTGGAGCCATGTAACCTGCAAGAGGAAGAAAAAAACTGTTTAATCTTAAAATATATATTTTAAGATTAAACTTTTTTGTGTGTTTTTGAGTCCTGTCCTGGTAGCTCATCTGAACAGAAGGGTGGATCTGTTTGCACTACGATGTTGTGTCAGATTTGGTATATGGGAAAACAATGGAGAGCTCCCAAGTGTGATAATTTATTTATTTATTTTTTCATATAAATGTGTGATTTTTGCATCTGGGACATATGGCAGGTAGGAAAGGCCATGTTATTTATGAAGAAACTAATATTGTAAGAGGTGGAGAAAAAATATAGAAGGACTGCTTTTATAAAAATAAAAAAAATGACCAACCCTAAAAGCAGCCAAGAAAGCCTGAGTTGATTTATTGGCATTAGGACCTACCTGGTGTTCCAGCGTAGCCTTTAGTCATCGTTTTTCCTTCTTTTAGCTCTACAGCAAGACCCAAGTCAGATATACGAACATTACCTGTTAAACACAATCAGATTGTATTATCTGATTAAATAAAATACCAATATATATATAT